CTCTCCATGTTTGTTGTTTGGTTTGAAGTTAGCCATAAACTTTATTTTCCTTGCATAAGAGGGTTAGAGATTTTAGCCTACTGAAAGCTCTTAAGATTATTGAATACTCTCAAGATCAAATCTTAGAATAGGATTATGTCTTTTTTCTTGTGACCGAACATCTATAATTTCTGGTGTTTTTCTCTCTTCACTTAAATTTTACTTTTTGCACTTTACTTTCTAAATTTTATTTTCAACTACTTATTTCTAAAACATTTCTAAAATGTTTTCAAACTTTGATATTGACCCAAAAAGTTTTTCAAACTAAGTTTTTCTAAAGCACACAATTCACCCCCTCTTATGTGTGGAGTCACATGTTCAACATATATGATTCTTAAGTGTTTTGTTTAATTAGATCTTGGGTGATGTTTAGATGATCACGTGTGTTTAGGTGATCATGCATTTAGTTGATTAGGGTTTATGTTGTAACAAGTGATCCATTATATTGTAATATGTTTGATTAAGGAATTAATTATGTTGATCAATTATGTTTATGTTAAAGTTATAATGTTTTGGTTGTTGTCAATTATGTGTATGTGTTTAGCAGTATAATGTATGCATAAGGGTTTGTTTGACAATCTCTACATAATGTATACACGGGATCTGCATGCATGCATAAGGACTTGGTTTGTTTCCTCGACAGTGTGGGGTTTGCGTAATGGATGCACAAGGACTCGTTTGACAATATGTGCATAATTGATGCATAAGGACCTATTTGAGAGTTTGAACATGTATTCCATGATAAATGTAACACATAAAAGATAGCCAGTTGTTTTCCATCTTTTTAAGATGAGCAATTTCTCGTCTCAACATTGATGGAAAAATTGATATTTGATCAACCATTGGCCAAAATTGTGGTTAATTTGTTGGGAATACAATGCTTGAGTAATACATTTGAAATATTGATTTCCTACATAGGCAAAATATAGTAAAACATACAATTCAGCCATATCAAGAAACATACAAACATTCATACATACAAAGCAAAACATAGAAAAACATACATACAATATTCATCCACATACTCTTTAAGTTGATTCTTGGTGTTCCATATACATGTAGTCAAATGGCAACGTGGTATACTAGTCAAGTTTCATTTTTCTTGTATTAACAAAGTAAGTCACAATGCCATTGGTTACACAAAATATTTCAAGTTCATAGCCACCATGCCATGTAGGATTCCAACCATCAGTTTTTTTTTTTTTTTTATTCTTTTCAAGAATCAAGTGGATAGGACATATACCTATAGTATACTCCTACAATAATTCCTTCTGGTCAGTTATCCTCTTTGTTATGTAATGTTTGATCCTTTATAATAATATGATAATAATTTTGTCCTTATTCTCTAATATTGCCCTAGTAAAGGTCTCACACATAACAACAACCAAACAAGAAAATATTATAAAACAATTAGGACGGACGACTGCATATGAATGAAGCAAGGAAACAAGTGGGACCTAACTTAGTAAACTAACTGTAAATGGGACAAAAAACATGTCTTACACAATACTTGATTTCTTTGTTCATATTCTATTGAGAACTTGTTTTGCTCATCTTCAAAAGACCAGATGTTATCTTACTTTGAAACTCTGCAAATCGATGACACGTATTGAATGATTGAGAGATGTGATTTGTGTTTTAGTGTTAATTTTATTTTATGGGAGTTAGTTGATGAAGTTACTAGGGATTCTTCTAGACTTGAGTTCATGCCTTCATCCTTTATTAGTTTCATTAATTCATTCAACTTCTCGATGATTTCTTCCTTCTTAGATTTTTCCTCAAAGTTACAAGCATTCACATATCTCGATTTAAGGATTGGATTATGGTTCTAATTTCAATTATTAAGTATTATATATTTGTTAGCTACAAAGGTTCTAACATTATTTCCAAAATATATAAGAGTTGAAAAAAATTATGAAGGAAACAATCATCTTCCAAGCCTCTTGTGTTCATTCGCTCTTTTTTGACACTTGGAGAAACTCTCAAAGCGTCATGGCTAAAAGTATGTGAGAGAAATATAATTATTTAGAGAGAGAGAGACGGGGGGGGGGGGGGGGGGGGGAGGGGGAAAGTGAGATGTATCACATTTTCCAATGTGTTTGAAATGAAAGAGAATGCCTCTGGTTATAAGCCCAGAAATGGTTCATTTTAGGAGATAATCCATGGAAAAAATAAATCACCTAATCGATTAGGTATATGCAATAATCGATTGTTGTTGCCAAAATTGAAAGTTTTTGATAGAAAGTCATTACCATTCATTAAGAAACTGTCATAATCGATTATGGACTTGATTCTCCCTCATCTAATCAATTAGGCATGTGTTTTAATTGTTTATACAGTTCAAAAACTTGTCCTAATCAACCTGACAGTTTCCAATTCATCTGGCTAGGTTCCAAAAATATTTTTGGTAATTTTATTTGAAAAAAGGAGACTTAAAAAATGATTTTTAGTGCGTGTGATTTATCCATAATGCTTCCAAAAAAACCTTGTATTTTTACAATACTCTTATCACTCAGACAAACACAATCAGACAAGCTTTCACACTTCCTCTCTTTCACACTCTGAAGCCTCAAGTCCTTTTCCCGAATATACCAATCATATGAGCACTTCACTTGAATCTTCCTAAGTGTGATGCTTGAGATATCCACATGCCATTCACCGTCATGAGAGAGAGTTGGTGAGATATCATTGGTGATTATAAACCCTAATTCTTTAGCTTAATTTAGAGGAATATCTTGATCATCATCAAAATCGGAGATAAATAGATCTTGTTTATCTATGAATTTTGACCACTTCTTGATTATTCCTACAAGCACATAGTTCCACAAATATTTGGATTTGTACGTCTGAGCGAATTCCCTGACCATGTACGAGTTAATTATCCCAGTTTCTTTAAAATGTGTTTTCCCACTCCTTCAAGATTTTCTCTCAAGTGTTTAAAGGTGTATAATCCTCAGGGCTAGGGTGGGGTTCGTGCCTATTTTCTTCTTTGATTGCTGGACACCCTTATATGATGGGCGACTAAATCATGTGCTTAGCAGTACTCGTCTAATTCCATCGACCATGAGTTTATCTTTATAGTTAATGTTGGGATGAACTCTACTCAACAAGTCATTAATATCATGAGCCTCTTTGCGCGCTAACTTTTCTCAAAAAGCATAACCCGGTCTCAGACCCTTCTCAAATATCCAACACTCTAGACTTTTGTTTAAGCCTCTCATAACTATGACAACTTTTGTGAAGCTGTCAATATATCCGTGCATGATTTCTTTCTTACCCTGCGTGATTCCTCTAAGCACGGCCATGGTAGTGAGTTGCCTCTTCATATCGGTGAAATGGGTGTTGAAAGCTTCTCAAAGGCCAGACTAAAAGTCTATACTTCCATCCCCAAGGGATTTTTACCAAGCCACGACTGATTTGGCCAAACTTAATGCAAAGATCTTGCACTTCACGGCCCCGCCGACGTGATATTAATCCAGACGGCCATCTACATGCTCAACATGGTCATATGGATCCCCTATCTCGTCATAAATATGGAGCTTATACGGTTTCTCCAATGATTTCGGTATCCTGCTATCAAGGATGCAGACGAGTAAGGGGTTTCTCTTCCAAGTTTGGGCGGGAGTGTCTTCCTCATCCTTTTCCCTTCTCCAAGGGCGGAAAACTTCAAGGGGAGTATGGCTACATCTTCCTCCTTCGGGATTAGAAGAAAGAGTATAATGTCTATGTCGTTGGTAGCTTGATGGTTTATGGATTTCTTATTGGTTCAAGGACGATGATTTTATGCGAAGCCACCTCTTGTAAAATGTTATTCTTCGGATTGGTATTGTGTAAACTTTCTTCAATCCGACTCAATCTCTCTGCTATGACTTGGGAGTTTTACTGTCGCACAACATGGTAGACTTTATTCAGTAGGTCATTGATACCTTGCAATCCAATATTAGCCAACAAGAGTTAAAAACCGTGAAACATCTCATGTTTGTGCACTATAGACAACGATGCAGGTCTGAATGAAGTTTCACCTTGAGGAAACTATGATGTAGATCCCAGGAATGAAGAAGGTTGAAACATTCAGTGACTAGTTCTAGGTTGGACATGATCTTGAGGTAGAGGAACTAATGGAGCAACTACTAGGAATTAATCGTTTGTCCCTTGAAGAGGAGGTGAAGGATTCATGGCCACTTCCGTGACAATAACAACTTGTTATTAGGCGACGAAGCGAGTAACTTTAGAGGCTACCATCGTCCATGGATATGATGATGGGTTTGAAGGAGGATAATTTGATTCAGTTAACGTGATTTTCATGTAACAGATTGTCTGCTTTTAAGAGAAAGAGTATATATATTAAGTATTCCATGTCTCGCTACTCCCTTATTGAGCCTTTGTCTTCTAAACTTTGCAGAAGCAACCAAGAACGATCAAACTAGTGTAATATAAATATATTAGTACATTAAAAACTAAATTAATGAAAAATATTTATAAAATATTGTAGCCCTTTTACAAGAAAATGTTTATTAAGTTTTTGAGACAAACATAAAATAGAGAACATGGACATGTTGACTTTTCAAAGTCTAAATTTAACAATTTTTATTTTTTAAAGAAGAGGGATAATATCACCAAATAAAATATTATTTTATTTCTAGTGGCATGCATGATAGTTGTACTAGGGAATTTTTTTATGAAGAAAATCTCAAAATAGGATATAATTCACCATCCTAAATTTCATTTATTACCTCGCTGTATTTTATTTCACCAAATATAATATTCATTTACTTTTATTCCTTTTGTAAACAATCCATTTGTACTTTTCATAATTTAATTTTCATACAAATAAAACACTAAAAATAAAAAAAAAATAAACTCAAATTTCATTTGACATGTGATATCACAAAAACTAAACAAAACTCTCTTTCTCTTTCTTCTCTACCAACGACGCTGCACACTTCATTTGTCAGACAATAATGGAGAACGCCGACCCTTGTAGAGATTTCGTCAAAGATGTTAAGCGCATAATCATCAAGGTATTCTTCTTCCTTTTCATCATTCCTTTTCAACTTCATTTTCATTCTTATGCAATTATATATGCAATGCTTCAAAACCAAAATGGTGATGCAATTGATTCATTTTTAAGGTTGGAACTGCTGTTGTTACTCGACAAGATGGAAGATTAGCAGTTGGGAAATTAGGGGCACTTTGTGAGCAGGTCAAAAAATGTTTTTTTTTTTTTGTTTTCTTTTTATTTTATGATGATAAAAATTGGATTTTGAATTAGGAATATGTGACCCTTTTGAAAATAAATGGCAGATTAAGGAGCTGAACATTCTAGGTTATGAAGTTATTTTGGTTTCATCGGGTGCTGTTGGCTTAGGTCGCCAAAGGCTTAGATATAGAAAATTGATTCATAGTAGGTAAGTAAGATGTAATGTAGGTTGATCACTTTTTTGTTTGTTATTGTTTTGTTGATTTGTTTCACTTCATTTAAGCATTCCCTTTTGAAGTAGTTGAATTGAAATTTTACAGCTTTGCTGATCTTCAGAAGCCACAAGTTGAACTTGATGGCAAGGCTTGTGCTGCTGTTGGACAAAGCAGTCTTATGGCTACTTATGATGATTTGTTTAGTCAGGTTATTGCTGTTAATTTAATCGATTAGTTGATGTAGCATCTTATGATTGACCTGGTTCGGATTTGATGTACTTTTTTTTGTCGATTTCATTTTCAGTTATTGGTACTTTTATTTTAGGATAGTTGACATTGCTGTGTTAATTCTTTTTTTTGTACCTGTGTTGTAGCTGGATGTGACATCTGCGCAGCTTCTTGTTACCGACAATGATTTTAGAGACGGGGATTTTAGAAAGCAACTTTCCGAAACTGTGAAATCACTTCTATCGTTGAAAGTTATTCCAATATTCAACGAGAACGATGCAGTTAGTACTAGGAAAGCTCCATACGAGGATTCTTCTGGCATATTTTGGGACAATGACAGTTTATCGGCTTTGCTGGCGTTGGAACTAAAAGCAGATCTTCTTATTTTGTTGAGCGATGTAGACGGTCTTTATAATGGTCCTCCAAGTGATCCACAGTCAAAGCTCATTCACACTTACGTTAAAGAAAAGCATCAAAATGAAATTACTTTTGGAGACAAGTCTAGGGTGGGAAGAGGTGGGATGACGGCAAAAGTAACAGCTTCTGTTCATGCCGCTGATGCTGGCATTCCTGTTATCATTACCAGGTGCATATGAAAACTTTTAAAATTTGTTATTTTATTAACGAGACTTAAATATAAACTTTTCCCTGTTTCCATGTTGATGCATTAGTCAGAAGTTGTAATGCCAAAAACACTATGAAATACATTATTTTTGTTACATACTACATCTGATTCTCATTTTTGCAACTGGGTTCTGCAACATTTTTTTCTCCTTTCAGTGGTAACACAGCTGAAAATCTCACTAAAATCCTCCAAGGACAGCGTATTGGTACCCTCTTTCATAAAGATGCGGCTAAGTGGGTCCCATTAAAAGAGGTTGATGTACGTGAAATGGCAGTTGCAGCCAGGGACTGTTCCAGACGGCTTCAGGTCTCATTTATATCTTAAACATCGCTAAGCTTTCAGTATACCATTCCCTCCAAAACATGCTAATCTCCCAATCTTACATTACAGGCCGCATCTTCGGAAGAAAGGAAACAAATTTTGCTAAATATAGCCAATGCCTTGGAATCGCATCAGAAAGAGATCAGGATCGAAAATGAAGCTGATGTTGCAGCAGCTCAAGAAGCTGGATATGAAAAATCATTAGTTGCTAGACTGGCTTTAAAAAACGAGAAGGCAAGGCAGTTCACATTAATAAGAAGAAATTATTAAAATTTTAGCTAACTAACTAATTACACCTAATTGTTGAATTTTAAACAAACTGCTAAATTTCTCATGATAAACTATGATAATCGACAGATTGCAGGCCTTGCCAACAACATACGAATTATTGCAAAGATGGAGGATCCAATTGGTCGAGTTTTAAAACGAACCGAGGTAATGAATAGTTTGTTTTAGCTATATATATATACTCGTGTTATTGTTGCCAAGTCATAAACTGATGTTTTGAATAAGTTTTTCATAGACACTCTTGATTGCACTGGATAATGTTTGTTGTTGATGATTTATGATATTTCTGATAGTCTCCTTTTTATTTAGCTTGCAGAGGGGCTGATTTTGGAGAAAACATCATCTCCTTTGGGAGTTCTCTTAATTGTTTTTGAGTCTCGCCCCGATGCACTAGTACAGGTAAATCAAACACTTTCATGTTTTTCTTTTAAAAATAATGAAATGAATTCATTCTTCTTATATCACATGAATTTAGTTAAATTTTAAAATCATCTACATTGCATTTTAAAAACTGTGTCTAGATTTACTAATATGACCGACGCCATTTATCTGCATTCTAAGCTAGTGTCTTCATATATTCTGAACAGATAGCTTCCTTGGCAATACGAAGTGGGAATGGACTTCTGTTGAAAGGAGGCAAGGAGGCTAAGCGATCAAATGCAATTTTGCACAAAGTTTAGTTTCAAATGAAATTATATTTTGTGAATATTTTCTTTTATATTGTATTTTATTTGGCAGTTTTATTGATAAGCATTTTTTAGTAATTTTCCTTATCTGAAATTTCAGGTAATTACTGAAGCTATACCAGATACTGTTGGTTCAAAACTTATCGGACTCGTGACATCAAGAGCAGAAATACCCGAGCTTCTTAAGGTGAATATGCTACAAATTAATTTCCGGTTTATAAGCCTGCTCCCTTTGAATATATTGGCATGTTTACCTAAACTGGAACTTGTGTTCTATTTGATTTTCAGTTGGATGATGTAATTGATCTGGTGATTCCAAGAGGCAGCAACAAACTTGTTTCTGATATCAAAAGTTCCACGAAAATCCCTGTTCTAGGTCATGCTGGTAAGACCTTTCTGCTTGATATGGTATGGTAAATCCTTTTTTAAATGATATAATAGTGACTATTGCCTATGATATTATTGTTGTTGCCGAAATCAGATGGAATTTGTCACGTCTATGTTGATAAATCTGCGAATTTGGAGATGGCTAAGCAGATTGTACTCGATGCAAAAACAGATTATCCAGCAGGATGCAATGCTATGGTAATTTAAGTTACCGGATGATACTGCAAGCTTTGTTACCTTTCACCACCATGCGTAATTCTCATGTTATTTAAATTTCAACTTTTAGGAAACACTTCTTGTTCATAAGGATTTGGTAGAGAAAGGCTGGATAAATGATATTATCGTCGACTTGCGGACAGAAGGTATGAATTTTGGCATACGAGTTCTTACACTGATTATAAAATTTAGCTTGTAATGTTTCTGGAACAGTGAAATGATCTAAAATTTATGCAGGCGTTACAATATATGGAGGACCCAAAGCAAGTTCTCTATTAAATATTCCACTTGCTCGTTCATTACATCATGAGTATTGCTCGTTGGCTTGCACTATTGAAATTGTGGATGATGTTTACGCAGCTACTGCTCATATAAATCTTTACGGAAGGCACGCCACTCTCATATTCCTTGATTAGAATTTTGTTGAGGCATATTTTGTTTTCATTCATCTTTTCTGAAATTGTCTCGATTTCTCCTTTGTGGCAGTGCGCATACTGACTCCATTGTCACAGAAGATCATGAAGTAGCTGATGTATTTCTTCGTCAAGTCGACAGGTTTAGTTCGAAAAACAATATATATTATTTAGTTCCCTATTTTTTTAAAGCAATTGACCTTTTCTTGAGATTCCAACTCATTGTAAAGTGGCATTTATATATAAATAATGTTTGTTTTATTTGTAGTGCTGCTGTTTTTCACAATGCTAGTACAAGATTCAGCGATGGAGCACGATTTGGACTAGGCGCGGAGGTATGATACTAGAAAATTGTTTGCCTTGTTATTATCAGTAGCTTGTGCTAAGGTTGTTGATTTAATTGAATTCTATTTTGAGCTTTAATAGGTCGGAATAAGTACGAGCAGGATTCACGCACGAGGTCCGGTAGGAGTTGATGGACTGTTAACAACCAGATGGTATGAGCCGACGCATTTTCTAATACTTAAGAAACAGCAAATAAATCTTCCAATAGGCTTATAAAAAGGACCATAACTGTTAATGCTATTCATTTGCCATTGCAGGATTCTCAAAGGAAGTGGACAAGTAGTAGATGGTGATAAAGCAGTTAGCTACACCCACAAAGACATAACTCCTTGATTTGTACATTGTGCTAGTGAAATTCCACATCAAGGGAGGGAATGCCACTTGGTTGTACTTGATTTTCTTTAGTCTTTTTCCCCCCTTTTCTGTATTGAGTGTGAGTTCAAATTGTACAATTTTCAATTTAGAGAAGTGATGATAACTTGCATTAACTGCTTTTGTATTTATTTTGTTTGTACAATAAAATTGCTTCCTTTCCAACATTAGGAAATTGGCGGTCATTGTGCAACAATTTTTTTTCTCCATGTTATTGTAGTTTTTACAGTTATGCAAATAACTAGCTTCCTTGAGGATACGTAGGAGATTAAAGGACTATATAGTAATTAAATATTAATAATTTGATAAGAAAAATTCTTTGGTGAACTAATATCAGTAAGAAAGCAGTATTAATCTTACATATGCAAGTGTATGAAAATGTAAATATTCTCCTTTTTTTTCAAACATTGTCTTACAATTGCATAGCTTAGCTCATTCAATATCTCCGCATGGAGTTCTTTGCTAAGATAAACCTCTCACACCACATTTTACAATTTCTAATATAATAATAATGATATCTTACATTATAGACGTTTTGAATCATCAAATACTCTATGGCTCTACCATCACATCACACGGCGGTCCGACAAAAAATGTGAACACTCGATTGGTCCCATGGTAAGGGAATTTACCTGTCAAAGAATCCCAAGTTTGCAACCCTCAAATAATTTGAAAAACTTTTGTACATAACACCAAAAGTAACAACTTTTGAACAAAATGCCAAACTTATGCCCTTCACATAGACACTGACCTTTCAAGTATAAATTATGGCATCACTCATTCTATACTATACGAAACTGACTTGTACAATATGCGGGAAGGAGCATTGTAATTAATAATAAAAGGCAATAATATGAAACAAACACATTTCATTTCAGACTCAAGAACCTACTGCCTCCTAAACGCATGACATGCTAAGAATTTGGAAGGCAGAAGCCTCACATGACTATCTCTGGATTCAGAATGCTTGTTTTGATTTCCTTGTGGGGTAAAACCACACCACCATTGCTGTAAACTTCATCACACACATGGACATCTTCTCCAAGGATAGTCATATTCTCCACACGAGCCCATTGCCCCACAGTGGAATGCCACCCAATGATGCTGCTGGATATGCAAGCATGCTTCTTAATCCGAACTCCTCGCATTACAGTGCAGCTTGAAAGCCTGACACCTGACTCAATAATACAGCCGGGGCCAATTGCTACATCAGGTCCAATGAGACATCCCTCTCCAATTTTGGCTGTCTCATGCACAATTACATTCCCCAAAATGTGAGGGCCACTGGCCAACTTGGAAGAAGTGTTTTTCCTCAGTGAGTCCAGGTAGAGTCTCAGGCCTGTGATATAGTCCCTTGGTTGTCCAATGTCCATCCAGAATCCTGGCAGAACCATTGCATATAACTTTTTGTTTGCTGCAATCTTTGGAAAAACCTCTTTCTCGATAGAAGTGGGTCTCAGTTCAATATGATCCAAAACTGAGGGGTTCAATAGGTATATTCCAGCATTGATTTTGTTACCAACAAATAACTTCGGTTTTTCCACAAATTTCTCAACCTCGCCAGTGGTCTCTTCCATGACAACTACACCATATTTTGATGGCTCATCAACCTGCACAAGTATATATGTATGAAATAAATATATTGAATGCTATAATTTGCAATAAATTTTTTTCCCTTCAATCTGTTACCTTTGTCACCATTATGGAAGCCTCTCCTCCATGGGATTTGTGGAATTTTATCATTTCTTTAAGCGGATACTCACTGATAACATCACTGTTGAGAACAAAAAAAGGCTCACCAGAACCATCTATCAGCTTATCTCTGGCTAGAGCCAAGGGACCTGCAGTCCCCAATGGTTCAGTTTCTTGAGAGCAAGTGATTTTGATGTCGAGTTTTTTCTCAAAATCCTTCAAGAAATTCAACATCACCTGCAAGAGGAAGGGTTAAAAAATTCAAAATAAAGAAATTTTGTTTTCATAAATGTCCGTGAGAATGACTGCACATGATTAGGTAAAGAGTGGCACAATTCATACCTCTGGTTGGTAATTGATAGCCAACACCACTTCAGTAACTCCAATGTCCTTAAGAGCCTCTATCTGCAAAACAAATTAAAAGGAAAAACACAAGACATGACAGTTTATTAAGCCGTACACAAATATACATAAACATAAATAAAAATTTAAGTCTTGCACCTGCATGTACTCACAAGGCATGATGGGATAATGAGACGAACAAAATATAACAAAAGGAGAAGAATTAAATATTAAATGGAATTTAAACTACCTTCTCAAGCAAAAAATAACAATCTCCCCAATTTTTTGAGGAAAGGGGGAAGAAGATATAATAATAATAATAAGCACACATGAACAAAAACACACTATATTAACCTTAAACACGATGATGGAGGAAGCAGATATCAAAAGCAATCTAAATCAACTCATTCAGAAAATATATAATTCGACATACTAAACTGGAAAATAGATGTATTGTTTCTCTGACTCAAGCAACAAAAGGAAACATTTTTTTCTAGTATCTAGAGAATAGTGTCGCATGGCAACACAAAAAAACACAACCTCCTCCGGTTAAGCTTATCCTGGTGTTGGACAACTGTCGGTTTGTACAACACCTGTACAACTCATGTCGGATAACTCAGAGAAGTGTCCTTAACAAATTTTTCCTTTGCTTCGACACACCATAGACTGCAATACTATTATAATGGGCACCTCTAAAAAAATTAGAACACAGTTTTTAAAAGTAATATAGTAGAATTTTAATTAGGTAACTGAAAGTTCTTACATATGCACTTTTTTCAGATACAAACATCGTTATCTTCTACAGTATTCAAGGATGACCATTATCGAGGGGTTTAAAGACCTCAAATTTGATTACATCATTTTCAGTTTTTCGGTGGGAGATGGATAGGTGAAGGTGAAATACTAGCCTATCTTATTTTAAATTTTATTGGTTGTTGCAAAGTTTTTAGAGAATTCAGGAAGATCCAATGTTGGTTATTGCCTTGTTGTACATGAAAAGGTGTTGCGGATCATTTATCCAAGGGTCAATATGCTAACTCATTCCGCTGAAAATTTCTGCAAAAATAATTTGGGCTATGTAGCATTTATGCAAAACTCTGATGCATGATATGAGGGAGGAAATATAACATAGAAGCTATTAAAAAACAAAACCCATCTCTAATTTACTCAGGTAGCATAGCAATTGTAAGACTTCGAGAAAAGAGGTATCGAAAGCCTTACCTGGTGCAGAATCATAGGCTTGTTAGCAAAATCAACAAGAGGCTTGGGAACACTGAGTGTCAATGGCCTCAACCTTGTTCCAAATCCTCCAACCAAAATCAATGCCTTCATTGTGACGCGTCCTTTGCTTTTCCAGTAAAATTATAAATTTTGAAGCAGACCTAGAAAGGCTAACAGACAACACAAAATAAGATATGAGAAAACAACTTCCATGCTGTCCAGTAAATATGCATAACAGGAAATAAATAACTTGCAAGGAACTCTTCAATTACATCCGTATAAATAAAAATCTATGGATAAAGCTTAAGATACAAGGCCCTAAAACCTACTTTTAATCCAAAAGAAGCAAGCCAAATGATCATACTGTGTGTCATTACAAGAATCGTGGATCTAGGAATGGAAGTAAAAGTGAATCAAAAGGTTTAGATGTATATGAAAACAAAGACAAAATCCAGCTATGAAATGGGACTAGCTTTTAGGAGAACAACAAAAACGGGTTAATCCTGCAGAGGGTTGATCCATTATTTGTATTATATTTAAACAAGGATCACCGTGCATGGTAAGCATTACTTCTTAGCTTTGGAAAATAATAGTTTTTCTTTTCAAAAACACCCCCAAAAAGCTAGTTTATCTAGAAAAGAAATATCACATTTCTCCAAAAGTATGCTAATCCAACCCGGCACTCAACATCTGCTTGTCATTCAAGTATGAGACTGTTTCTTTCTATCAATATGAGAAGATTTTCTATACAGCTTTCATAATAAAATAAAAAATAACCTCCACTTAAGAAGTTTTCAGAGTAAAGTGCATTGCTTAATTCAACATTATATCACCAAATCACTAGGTTTGGTTACTAAAGGAAGAAATCTGTAATAATTCACTAATTCCAAACAGCCACTCTTTGCCACATTGCTTACCATATCTCCAAGTTTGGAATAAAACAAAAGATTGAGTCAGGTTAGAATTGGATCACATAATCACATTTCTCATATGAAGGTAGAGCAAGTACGTGTCTACTAAAATCGTCATGGAAAAGGCAATTTTACATTATTTTTAGGAATACATTTCTCAAAAAAGAAAACTCTAAAGGAAAAATATACAAGTGAGAGTTAAAGTTTTCCTTATGTTACATTCCACCAACCACTGTGGTCAACCCCATTAGGTTATACGTGAACCTAGCTTTTACAAATAAAAACATACTGAAAGAATCTCCTAACCCTAGATCCATTGGTCCCTCCCAGCCTAAAAAAAAACCTACCTCTTACATCTCTACATTGCATCATAAATTTCAGTACTAAATCATTTTTCAAATAGTTTTCACAACAAAAAGCTTTGAATTGAAAGCAAACACAATAAATAAAACAAAATTACAGAATAGATCTGAAAACTAGCACACAATTTCGTTGACACAATTACACAAACACCTTGTGAACGCAACGAAATTCAGAAAATATAAAATAAAAGGTGGTTGCAATGTAAATGAATAAACCAAAACAAAATCCATGCAGAACGTAAAAAAAAGAAAAGGAGATAAATAAAACCTGAAGAAAGGGAAGGGTGGGGGAATGAGAAACGAAACGAAGCCCCGAAAGTGGAAGAAGTGAAGAAGACGAGTCAGAATGAGGTGTGTTGAAACAGAAGAACAGCCTGACACAACGTAACTGTCCGGTCAATTAGCTGTAGCGATCGGATTGGTCATCGCTTGTCATCTTCCTTATATATACGCGCCAACCAAGCATGGCGTTAAATAAGTTAAGTCACAGTGACGCACGAACCCCTTTTTTTTTTTTAAATTATTTAAGTTTTCCTTTTTAATTCCTCAAGTAACATTGATGCTTTGTTTGGTGTGACCAGCGTCGGTGGTTTCGGCTTTTGCGTTAGGATCCTCTTTATTGTCCATCGTCATTATTTACTTCATTAAATATTTTTTTTTGTTTTATTTATTTTTTTTAATAAATGTTTTCCTTTTAAATAATTCATTTTTTGCACTATAAAACAAAACAAATCAAAAAAATAAAATTAGAGGTATAATATTTTATTATTTAAAAATTTCTACTGTTTGACTAAAAATTCAAGTATAAATTAATTTAAATTTAAATATATATATATATATATATATATATATATATATATATATATATATATATATATATATATATATATATATATATATATATATATATATATATATATATATATATATATATATATATATATATATATATATATATATATATATATATATATATATATATATATATAAAATTTCTTTTTTGATTTTAATTAATTTGAGACATTTGATAATTAATTTTTTAAATAAATGTTCTATTTAATGCAAATTGTGCAAATAATAAAATTTAGAATTGCATATATAATACAATACGAAATCTTTTCACTTGAATTTGTAATGCCCATTTAATTTTGATTAATTTTCGAAATTAAAATTATATGATTATAGACGTGTTTTATTGTGTTAGAATATTGTAGTAGGGGGTAATGATTTTAGTGTTATTGACTTTAAAGGTAAAAGGTGAGAGGTGTGTAACTAATTTTGTAGAATTTGATGGCGTGGTGAGATTTATTATAGTATGGGTAATATTAGATTATTAATATTAATTTAAATTAGTAATGGATATTATTATTATTATTTAAATTAAAAAATTATTAATAATAATAATAATATTGGAATAATGATAATGGAATAATAATAATAATAATATTATAAGGAATAGAAAGAGAAGTTGAGAAAATATTTGTCAGCACGTGTTTTGAGCGAGGAGAGAAAGGAAGAACGTGAAGGAGAGCTAGGGGAAGGGAAGAGAAAAACTTCATTCTTGAGGAAGAAGGAATCTTTGCAAAACTCTAAGGTAAGGGTGAAATTCTAACTAGCTAAGGGTTTGAATGATGGTAATTGTGGGTAAACTTTTCATGTAGGTTTGTGTTGTTGTTTTCTCCCTATTCATGTTTTTGATGAATGTTGTTGTTGAATTGGTTGATCATGAGCATGTTGTATGTTGTTGTTAGATTCGGTGTTGTTATTGAGGTTTATGCAATTGTTGTTGTTGTTGATTCGTTAATCGTTGAATGACTAATATTGTTGTGTCGTTGTGCGAAGTCTCGAATCAAAGTCAGAACGATCGTTTTGGGTGTTTTCGGGGAAATAAATTGGGATTTTTGAGTTGATGAAAACTGATTTTCGAGTCAAATATTTGATTACACATTTTGGGTGAAAGGGGAGATTTTGAAATAAGTTTAAAATCACTTTTCGTACTGATAAGCAGCAGAAAAGTGATTCTGCTACAGGTGTAATCGGTTACCAGATACAGGGTAATCGGTTACACGGTTGAAAATTAGCATTTCTGGGCAAAACTGTGAGGGTGTAATCGGTTACCCTGATTTAGGTAACTGATTACACTGTGTTATTTTGCGTGACAGTGGCTAGTTACCATAGTGTAACCGGTTATCTCTTTTTGAGTAACCGGTTACCCTTAAGACCAAAATTTGAGAAACTTTAAAAATTCATATCTTTCGTTCCAGGAGTCCGATTTGAGTGTCGTTTGAAGCGCCAGAAAGCTGGCGTGACGAACTTTTATCTAAAAATAGTTTCAGTAGCAGAAGTAGAATGTTTATACTATTGGTTGATGTTAAACACATTTTAACTGTTTTGTTGTGGTATATAATAATGTTAAATGCCTTGTTGATGCTTGTCATGTTGCATGTTTTTGTTGCTAGATTATATGACATGCTGTTGTTGCTGGCCTGCAGGGGCATGTTGCATTGTGGTTGACCGTTGTTGTTGTTGTTGTCATGTATTACATTGATTGCATGAGTTTTGAGATAAGTCGTATGCCCATGTGAGGTGTGAGCGTCTTACCGGATCCTGATTGTGGAGTCGAATCATTGATGTTGTTGTTAAGGTGATCATGTGCCCATATGGGTGTGAGCGATCATAGTGATTCGTGTGCCCATGTGTGGTATGAGCGACCACGAAAGTCGTGTGCTCATGTGGGGTGTGAGCGACATTATTGAATTTCGACGGGAATTGTGGTTCTGAAATAGGCACTGATGATATCACATATATTGAGTTTGGTTGTGAGTCTCATTGTATAACATATTGCTTGCATATGTTATTATATTGTGTGTTGTAGTTGTATGTGCTGATGTTGTTGTTGTATGTCGAATGATGTTGTTATATGTTCGTTGGTGTTGCTATGTTTGGTGGTTATTGTGTTGGTTGGGTGAAATGAGTGATATGCATGAAATAATTTGATACTTACTTTATTATCATGCTTTCCTTTATCTATTTATGATATCTCACCCCTTCTGTTTGAATGTTGCATTTTCATGGTCATCATGCAGATAATCACAGTAAAGGAGTTGGAGTAAGTAGAAGATAAAGTCTTCTATTTTACTTTAGTGTCGGTGTCTGCTATGATGTGTAACACCGGGGTCTTGGAAAGTTTTTTTTATTTTTTTTTATTTTTATGTTGGAGACTTTTAGACATCTTTAATTATTTCGATTTTGGTTTATGTTATTGCTGAAGGAATAATTATACTATGTATGATTAATTATGTTGATGCTTCCGCTGTTTCAATAAAGTTTTAAAGTTCAAGACATGTGGAGTTGTATTAGTTATTATAACTAATTTTTAGATATTGAATGTGTTACATATTACTATGTGTGAGCAACATTGTGTGATGAATATTGTATGACATCCTGAATAAGTGTTTGAAATTACTCTAATTTTATTTGTATTATGCGGGGGTATATTTTGGGTGTTACAGAATCTACCCAATATTTCTCTTGGAGGCATTCATGATTTTGTGATTCATAAATTTATTTTTATGTTGGCAACGGACTAAAAGACAAGCATGATATTCAAAAATTAAAAAAATTCACTTATCAAAGAATAGATATATCCAAAATAGGCTTAATTGCAACTATGGTCCCTTTATTTTGTATTTTTTTGCGTTTTGGTCCCCCCCATTTTAAAAACTACGATTTTGGTCCATTTTTAAGTTTTGAGTTTGATTTTAGTCCCCTCTCCAATTTAATTTTTTTTAATGATGTGGCACTATCTAAGATGACGTGTTTAATGTCAGGTCATTTT